GTGTGGGGAGAAGGGTGCAACAATGAATGAATGGAATTCCAAAATCTCTGTAGATGTTCATTGAAATGAAAAATAAACAACCTAAATTAAAAAAAATATTTATATTGTCTCCATTGTTTGTTCTTTTCTACAACAACCATCTTTATGCCTACATCTTTTGCCCATAATGAGAATGACTGCAGAATAAAACCTAAATAATAACTGATGGATCAAAGGGTAGGTCTGAGTAAATTTTGGTGGTAATTGCCAAATTATCTCCCAAAAGGATTGAATTCTTTCTCTCTTATTGAATTCTTTCTCCAGTTGGAGCTGACTTATAGCTGGCTCTCCTGAGGGTTTTCCAAGGCTGTAAGTCACACCGGAGATCACCCATCTTTCTCCCGAGATGCTGCTGATGGATTCGAATCATCAGACAGGCACAGCCTTTGGGTTATCAGTGCAAGCCCCTACAGACTAGGTCACCAGAGCCAGATTCCCATCATATTTTACCAACCATCTATGAGAACACCTGCTTCCTGGGCCTCTGGCCATGTCTCCTGTTCATCTTTTGATTTGCTATTCTAAGAGATGAAAATTGCAGTTCACTGTTTTCATTTACTTCTTTAGCCACAAGTAATGATAAGGCACTCCTTTTTCTCTGGATTTCCTGTTTGGATGGGTCTTTTATCCATTTTTCTTTTATTGTAATAGCTGCTAAAATCAACTGAGTGGATAAAAAAACTAATACATTGGATGGGGTTGACTCAGACAGAAGCTTTGAGTCAGTTAGCACCAAACCAAATATGTAAAGGCTGACTGTCATCAATGACTGACTTTTTATTGACAAAGTAAAAAACCAAATGCAGCTTATTTTTTAGTGGCTTAGGCAATTTACCCCTGAAGCACTGCCAGGATTCCTTGGATCCCCGGGGGCTGAAGTGCTGTCAAAGTCTCACTGAGCAATGGCCATGGCCTGATTTACTGGAAAGCTGGGCTTACATTTTAATAAAGACAAGCCTTAGAAGCATTGTTTACTCACCATGGATGCTATTTTGTCAATCATGTAATTCCATCTTTACTTTATTTAGCACAGCTCTTTATATACAGGGTAAATTCTCCAAATAAAATTAAACTTACAGTCACAAGAGTCAACTCTTACTTATAATGACCCTGTACTACAGAGTAGAACTCCCTCCAAGGGTGTTCAAGGGAGCTCTGGTCACCTAGTGGCCTAGTGGTTAAGATGCTGAGCTTCCAACCTAAAGACAGTCAGTTTGAATCCACCAGATGCTCCTTAGGAGAAAGAAGAGCAATCCTTTCCCTTTCGACTTACAGCCTCAAAACTTGCTGGAAGGTCAGGTATGAGTCAGAGCCAACTCAATGGCCATAACAACAACATAGGGTATCTAAGGTTGTACTCTTTATAGAAGTAGCTGTCGTATCTTTCTCCCATAGACTGGCTGGCAGGTTCAAACCACCAACCTCATTGGTTAGCAGTCAAACTTTTAAGCAGGATTCCTCTCTAGGCAAATTCAGCACTCTCTCCAGCACCACAACTCAAAGATTTTTATTTCGTAGATAGTCAAATTTATCATATCCTTCTATAGATGTTATGACGCGTACATAGGTCTTGTTTCTTTCTTTGCAACGTTTTTCCCACTCTAATATAATTAGATACAGTTTTCTCAAGTTTTCCTCTAGCATGTGGTCAAGTTTGTGTTTTATATTTTGTATGAATTTGGCATAGTTAATAACCTCTTTAGAAGGAGCTCCTGTGGCCTATAGCATGTTGCACTGCTGACCAAAGGGCCTGCTGTCTTCAGCCATTTGATTCCACTAGCAGCCCTTCGAGAGAAAGAGTGCGCTTCTCTCATTAAGATTTACAGCCTTAGAAACCTCATCAAGGGTCACGGAGTCAGAACTGACTCCAAAGCTGTGCATTCTGAGTTTAAATGCCCTCTTTAAAGGGCTAAAGAGCAAGGATATCCCTTTAAAATCGAAGGTGTGCCTGACCTGAGTCATGTTATGTTCAATTGCTTTATACGCATGTGAGAGGTGGGCAATGAGTAAGGAAGACTGGAGAAGACTCGATGCCTTTGAACGGTGGTGTTAGTGAGGCATGCTGAATATACTGTGGATTCCTAAAGCATAAACAAACCTATCCTGAAGCGCACTAGAGTGCACCCAACAAGCAAAGCAAGTGAGACTTTGTATTACACATTTGGGGCATGCAATCAAAGAGCACAGATCTTGAAAAAGGCCATAATGCTTGGAAAGGTGCAGGGTCAATTTAAGAGTAGAAGACCCTCAAGAAGCTGGAATGGCATGGTGACTGGAACAATGGTTTAAGCACCATAGAGATAATGAGGGTGGTGGGACTGGAGGCAGGATCTCATTCCATTGTACATAGAGTCACTATGAGTTAGAGTTGACTGAAAGGCACCTAACAATATGTTTAGCATGAGTCTGGATGGCAAAATGGTTAAGCAGTTGGCTGTTTACCCAAAGGTTGATGGTTCAAACCTTTCAGCTACTTGGTGGGAGAAAGATGTAGCCGTCTGTGTTCGTAAAGGTTACAACCTTAGAAACCTTCTGTGGCTGTCCTGCTGTGTCCTATAGGGCGGCTAGGACACAGAATCAGCTAGATAACAAGTGGCTTGCTCGTCTCTTCTCTCTATCCCCGTGTATCCTGAAGTACTCTGTAAATAATGATCATTGCTCTCGTCTCGTCTCGTCTGAACAGAAGGTCAGTTCTGGCCGCAGTGTCTGCTGTGCTGTTAATGCCCCTCTCTCCCTACAGGTGCGCGTGATGGTGGACCTGTGCAACAGCACCAAGGGCATCTGCCTGACAGGTAGGTGGCCACCCACACGGTGAGCACGTGCTGACCAGGGACAGCAGCAGAGTGGACACCTCTGCACATCTTAAGTTATACAAATGCATGTTAGCTCACTTTTTCCAGATGTTTTTAACAGGCTAGAAGTCAATTATAATGCAATTATGGAAAATAATAATATTTTCAATATTGCCATAGAAATAGAGTCATGGAAAATCCCTTGGCCTCTGGTGATTAGAAACGTGTGGTGCCTTGAATTAGGGCCATGGATGTTTTCCTTGTTCCTATTAGTTTAAAAAGGAAAAAAGAAAAATAAAGAAAAGAAAAAGAACTTGCTAAGGGGTAGAGTTTCCTGAACAGAGAAGGAGCAATCTTTCTCTCATCATACCTACTGCTTGAATGGTAAGTTCTATTTGCTAAATAGCAAGAAAACAGATTTTAGGAAAAGTCTTCTGCCGAGTGCTAGGTGGGACAGGACATTGGTTATACTTTCTCCCTCTTTCCTCCAGTATTAAAATCTATCAAGCCCAAGTAGGAAGGAGGCAAGAATTAGTTACACAAGCATATCAAACAAGGGAGGCCTAGTGGACGGGGGCAAGCAGAAGAGTGATTGTTGTGTGATTATCTGAGCCTTGGTGACACAGTTGTTTGGGTTAGGTGTTAGGCTGTGGTAGGCTGACAGCCTAAAGATTGATGGTTTGAACCCACCATCAACTCCGTGGCAGACAGATGAGGCAATCTGCTCTCATTCAGAAATATAGCCTTGAAAACGCAATGGAGAGTCACCATTAGCTAAAATCACCTCAGTGGTAATAGGATAGTTTGTTAGTTTGTTTTAAAGGAGTCCCCAGGTCATGCAAAAGGTTAATCACTTAGCTCCTGATCAAAGGGTCAGTGGTTTGAGGGGATCTTGGAAGAAAGCCCTGGTGATCTACTTCCAAAAGCTGGCAGCTACTGAAAATCTGTGGAGCAGTTCTCCCCAGAAATACATGAGGTTGTCTTGAGCTTAGACTAAATTGATGGCAATTAGTTTGGAGTCTTTGTTGTGTTTTGTTTTAATATTTTATTGGTACAAGTCTGGCAGAATGTTCTCTATTGTTTGAGGGGAAGAGAAGAAAAAACACAGACCCCAAGTGATCTCTCACTTACTGATGTTCCCCATGTTACAGAAGACCGTGGCCAGGCCCAGGGCACCTACGGAGCCTGGCTCCAGACACTTCACTTCCTGCCTCTCCAACTGCAGTGTGGTTTTAAGGGAAAAAGGAGGAATTATTTTCTCATTAAAAGTCTATTATGGAGTTGAAGCACAGTTCCCACTGACTTTGAAAGATAACCGCAAGACTTTGAAGCTACCGGAAGCTTCTTTTGGGCCAAGTCAGTCTATGGCCCCTGGCTCTGGGGAGGCCTGGTTAGTGCTTCAGAGTTATTTCCTCTGGTTGAGTTTGAGAAACCAGGGAGGGTTTGTATCCACTTATAAAAAAATCCCATCCCTTTCTACTATGTACCCCTATCCCAGGCCTCTCATTACCTGTCACCATTAGGAGCTCAGTGCCTGTGAATGAATGAATGTGTGGCCTTCAGAAGTAAAGGGGGTGAACAGGGTTGATAACAAAAGAGGCTTCCCTCAGGGACCCCAGATTCAGCATCTGCTTCTAACTCACTTTGGCGCAATAGAGAAAAGCTGTCATCTTGTGGCTTCTTGGGAAATCCTAATTGAATTACTCAAGTCACATTTCAGCTCTCTAAAGAAAATTAGCTGTCTTTAGAATAGCTCAGTCCTCTGCCCTGAAACTTTTGTGTCTTAAGCACCTTCCCCACGTCTGTCTTTGTAGTTCCTTTCAGCATTCATTCTCTCAGAGTGTGACAGTAATGAGTGCTGGTGAAAATGCTCAGAAAGATAGAATTGCAGGCACAAAAGCCCTATAGAAAGGCACAGGCAAAGGCCCTTCCTTTTTCATTTTTCTAATGATACGATGAGAGCTGGGCTGTTGGGTGAATGTGCAAAAGCCATGGAGTAAATCTTGAGACCAGTCGGGGCGACAGACAGCGAGGGGGGCATTGCATCGGGTTGGAAATGGGTGGTTATTCTGGGGCGGCTCCAAATACTCTTTTAAAAAAGTCAGCACTTTCTTCTTTCATGGCAACTTGGAAATAAGCCTTCTTTTACTCAGAAAGTTCTTCAGTTCAAACGTAGGTGTCCAAAGTACAAGTTGAGAAGTGAGACAGTGCCTTATAGAGTGCACCAAGCTGCTGGGTGGACTGGGTGGGCGAGGGAGAAGATGGCACCAGCCAGAATTGAGTTGAATCACTTAGAGGGAGTGACCGGGGTGCAGGAGAGCACAGCCTTGGCTTAGAGCCCCAAAAGGAACAGATCAAGGAGCCCCAAGAAGATACCAAGCAGGAGTGGTCACCAGGACAGAGCCCTGGGGCATGAGAGCAGAATCTACCTTTATACTGGATTCATCTTTGAAACTACAAGTGCCTGTAACTGGAGCCCAGTTCAGCTCTGGCTGTGAAACTCCACTCTTGCTCCTTTCCCTACACCCCGCAGAGGTTGCTGTGGAGATAAGCACAGCCATGGGCACATGTTTTGAGCAGTTTACGACCTGGCAGGTGCATAATAAGGACAATTCACTCACTAAAGTTGTCAAGTAGTTTTGTAAGTATAGTTTGTCAAATGACCTATGCTTTTCTGAATGTAAAACCCGGTTTTCCTTATAGTCCCAAGAGCTTATCTTTCAGAAGAGTAGGTAACTTGAAGAAGGTAAGGAAAGCTGTGGGTTCCCCACATGGAAACCAAACCCACAGCCATAGGTCGACTCCGACTCATGGCAACCACTCAATGACCTTCCAAGATTGTAAATCTTAATGAGAGCAGACTGCCTCGTCTTTCTCCTGCAGAGGGATTTGAACAGCTAACCTTTCAGTTAGAAGCCCAACATGTACTACACTATGCTAGAGGTCTCCTTTCCACAAATGGAAGTGTTGGCAAATCACTAAAGCATCATATTGTTGAACTGCTTCTTGGGAAGTACTTTAAATCCAAAGAGCCCAGTCCCCATGTGGTCAAGTGGCCCCAATCCAGAGATCGTAACTGCCATTCTCCTTCTAAATACTCTGGGAGACATCAATATCAGACCGCAGTGTTCAAGGGATAGGGGCACCTAGGAAAAAGAGAATGAAAATAGTTGGACAACCTGAAGACTGTCCTCATTGCCACTGAATTGTACATGTGGAAATTGTTAGGTTACTATATGCTCTGTGTGTCAGAGATTGTGAGGATGGCTCAGGAAAGGACAGGGTTCAGGGTTCATATCTGTTGTTTGTAGCGCCCTTGAGTCATATTCAACTCAGTAGCACCTAACAACAACAACTGCTGTGTATACTCAGAAAAGCATAAAAATAATAATGGATCACAGTGACTACTGAGTGTGGCCTTGTGTCATTCATTTCTGGTGCTCCAAAGTCACGGGAACTGCCACTAGAAATAAAACCTGTCAGCCGTCCCTTCTCTGCTTTGTTAAGTTTGCCATGGCCGTACATAAATGGCCTGAGTAATTAGTAGGTTTGGGTCAGGTCAGCAGGAGCAGAGCTTTGGTCCTGGGATTGGCCAACAGCTGATGGCAGGGGTGACTGAAGGGGATAGACCACAGAGCACACACAGGGCAGTCTCTGTATCCTCAATACTGAAGCCAGTACAAACTACATGCCCAAAAAAGCCCATTATTATTATTGAATCAATTCCAATTCATGATGACCTTCCATCAATTTTCAAACTCCATAAATCTCAATGGGAACAGATTGCTTTATTCTCTCTCCTGTGGAGCAGCTGGGGGATTCGAACTGCCTACCTGTTAGCAATCCAACACTTGCCACAAGGTCGCCAAAGCCAGGACAGTTCTGGAAAAATAAATGGACAGACAGGTCTCAGAAACAGCTCATGGGGATGACCAATTTCTACTCAACTGCCTTTTTCTTGTTGGGCTGCAGTGGCCAAAGTAGCCAGTTATTTTGGTGTTGGGAGATTCAGCCTCCAGGCATGAGAGCACCTCTTCCTCAGGGAGGGTCAAGCACATCTGACTCAGACAAGAGCTCTCCTGGGGCCTTGAGATTGTGGACAGCACGAATCGAGACCAAGGGAGTCCTTGCTGGAGCACTGGTGTGGGAGGTTCGGGACTACAGACTCAGCTTTTGGAGTTGAACTTTTTACTGTTGGTGGTGTTGAGAAGCCTTTGACTCACAGCCACCTCATCTAATAGGGTGTCCCTTGGGGTTTTCTTGGCTGTGATGAAGGCAGCTCACCCGGTCTTTGCATGTGGAGTTGCTCAGTGGGTTCAAACCCCTAACCTTTCAATTAGCAGTTGAGCACCTAAGCAGTTGCACCACCCAGACCCCTTCACCTTCCACTGCGTTGCTCTAAGGTGTCTCGAGTTGTTCTGACCCACAGCGACCTTACACACCACACAATGAAACCCTGCCTGATACTATGCCATCCTCACACTCTCTGCTGTGCTGAAGCTTGTTGTTTCGGTCACAGTGTCAATCCCATTGAGGATCTTCCTCTCCTTCACTGACCCTCTAGGCTTCTAAGCACAATGTCCTTCTCCGGGGACTGGCCACTCCTAATGCTGTTGTTAAGTGCCGTCAAGTTGACTGATTCATCATTACCCTCTGAACAATGGCACTGAACCCTGCTCTACCCTGCACCATCCTAACCATCTCTGACACACTCCAGCCCACCGTTATAGACACTATGTCAACCCATCTTGTTAAGGGTCCTTCCATCCTTCCCTGACCCTCCACCTTTCCAAGCATGGCATCCTTTTCCAAGGACTGACCCCTCCTAACAACATGCTTACTATAATTCACTGCCACGGAGTTGATTCTGATTCACAGTGACTGTCCACTGGCCTTACAAAGCTTTGTGGAGAACACTGCCCATCTGCCCATCTTTCTCCCCCAGAGTGGCCGGTGGATTTGAACTTCTGATCTTTCAGTGAGCAGCACAACATGTACCA